TGATGTGGGGCTCACAGATACCAAGGTGTGGGCTGCACTGTGATTAGTATTTGACCTATCTGGAAAAATAAATCCTGGGTTGAGCCCTGTTAAAATAAAGTATTCGTTCATTTTATCCATCTTTTGCAAACTTCCTCTTGTAGGGTGTGGAAAACTAAAAGGGCATATGGCGCTTTAAACTCAGAAGCAATTAGAATCCTGCCAGATGTACTGTACGTTGGCAAGTACTTATGTAATACATCTGAGCTTCACTTGAGTCTCCGGGTTGCGTTTTTTTGAAACACAAAGCAGATGTGCGTAACGGCAGTCTTGCTTATTATCGCTTGTCATTAGAAATCCTGTAACTCTCTACTGATAAATGCTAACTGTTATTGGCCTCATTCATTGTTCCTGCACTCTTAAAATACTGAGGAGTCAACACATTTTGTCCAATAGATCACTTTTAATGTTATGACTCTCTGCTGTGGGCCAGTGAGAAGTAATGTAGGACATTGGAGAGATTATACAGTTGGGGGTGAGTGGAGGTTCAAATCCCAGTGCTGCGATGCTCTTGCTCTACTACATGCTTGGGAATGAGTTACTTAATTTTAATGAGTCTCCACTGAAAGCTGTAGATGCTAATTTCTATTCAGTGGGCTACTACGATGATTGAACATGATAAATATTGGTTACTTCTCATCCTTTATCTATTGCCATTTTGTTCAACTACATTCTCTCTAAAAATGTGAACACACATATGGCACCATGTTCATAACAAGAAATTGTTTCCAGCTAAGGAATTTTTTCTCCAAAGAAACAGCATTGAAATCTTCTTTATGTATGAAACTAATAATCAGGAAGCTATAATGTTCTATCATTTCCCACAGTAAACTTATCATGTATTTTCATAGCTAAAACATTTTTAAAAAATATATCTAGTGCTGTGGACATGGCACAGTGCTGCGGTACTTGCTTAGCATGTCCAAGACCCTTCGTAGTTGCACAGCAATCCCCCCAACAAACACAGGAAGGAAGTCCTCTATCACATTCGAAAAGCATGATTCGGGGCTGGGGATTTAGCTCAGCAGCATAACACCCGCCTGGCAAGTGCAAGGAAGTGAGTTCGATTGCCGGTACCGGAAAAAAAAAAAAAAAAGAAAGAAAAAGAAACAAAAATGCATGATTTTGAAGAAAAGAAAAATAGTGAGAAGTACAGGCAAGAACTTGAATGTATTAAACAGTTTTCTGTAATGTTAATAAACCATAGTATATATGCATTACTTACTGTATCCCCTGCATTAGCTTAGGTCAACCACATCTGAGAGGGAGCATCTTGTAGCAGTAGTTATGTGGGTGTGAGTTTAACTCTGGTGTCATTACCAGTATTAAGTTGGATTCTAGTTCTACTACTTGTGATTATTATTGGGGTATTTTTAGTATTGGTATATTTTACTGAGATACTGAAGATCAAACAAAGGGCCTGTGCTTAGCCACAGAAATATATTGCCAGCTTCTAATGTTTATTTTTAATAGGACCTTACACCATAAATTCCTTAATGTATCTAGTCATAATTTCATCTGTTGAAGAATTTTTTTTTTTTTTGGTTTTTTGGTTTTTCTCTGGTACCGGGAACCGAACTCATGACCTTGCACTTGCCAGGCAGGCGTTTTGCCACTGAGCTAAATCCCCAGCCCCTTTGTTGAAGAATTCTAATAACAGTGGGTATTGTGGTTCTGTTTATAAAGCATCAGTGGTGCATAGTGTCTATGCTGGTGCCTACGATGTAACACTCTTTGCAACTATTAGTTCCCTTCATTAGTACTTCAGGGTTCTTGGACTCCCCCCATGTGGTACAGTAAATCATGTAGCATGGTGTGCATGGCTAAGCAACAATCTTTGTAATGGTATAGAATTATAATAGAAATTATCCGCTTTCCCTTCCTTCCTTCTTTTTATCCTCCCCTCGCCCTTCTCTCCTAACTTCTTTCTTCATTTGCTTTTCTTGTGTAATTTTCCTTCTTTTTCATTGAGAACTTGAAATCACCAGGCTCAACTTATATTGGAAATGAAGACAAACCCTAACCCTAACCCAAACTTAAAATTTTTTATGATGGTTAAAGCCAGGTCTTTTGGGTCTATCATGAGAAACTAGAAAGAACAGAGATAACCAAAAGCATTCACCATAAATTATATTAATAAAAGGCATATTCACTATGATAATTACAGAGCTTATCCTGTACTTTAAATTGTTCTCAAAATTTTACATTTTAATTTTTATATTATTTTAAAAACCTGTTCATGTTATATCACATACATAATTTTTCATTAATTTTAATTTCTTTAACTACCATGGGCTCTTTATGTTATATAATTTGTTGTAATATATACATACAATACTGATGCTGAGTTAAACAAAATTTATAGTATACATTTGTTTCTGCCGCTCAACTTCCGATGTTTTGACAGAACAAAGGTTTTCTTAAAACGCTGGCTTATCTCTTGAGTCTAAGGGATAAGCAGTGAACACCCACAACTCTCTCTGCTGGCATGCGAGCCAAGTTGCCCCAGCAGCTGAGCGTCGGATAAGAGTTGTTTTCTAAACTGAAACCCTGGAATTCAAACGTAATTGCAGTGTCGGCACTTTGCAAAATAGAAGTGGGTTTGGGGTTGTGGGTTGGGCTCTCAGTCTCTAAATGTTATGCCATCGCCCTTAGGACAACACACGGAAACTGGGATTATCTAGGGAAAATCAAAATGTATGGCCACCTGCTGGAGCTTGGTCAGAAGCCGTCCTAATCACAGCCTATAGGGAGAGGTCACAGGCATCCCAAGTGGCTATAAGGTGTTTAGTTTTTCTTTCTAGATAATAATCTAAATTATTTTTCTATTTAATATGATATGCTTTGGCGTGTCTGTCTTTACCCGGCTGCCCTACAGTTATCCACGACAAGGAAAACCCACAGATTGTTTCTCAGGAGCGTTTCACAGGCAAACCTTCTCCTTGGGAGGTTCATCAGGAAGAAGGTATATCACTGATACTGAGTGAAGGCAATTTTTCAAACTTCTGCAAATCATCCTCACTGACTCGGAATTAAGTTCCTGTGGTGAGAGGGGAAGAGGGAGAGTGGAGCTGTGTGAGAGTCTCCATCTCAGCTACCTTACTTGGGTCGGGGCCATTTTCAAAACAGAGCAACTTGGGGCTTTTCCCTAAGAGCTTTAAGAGTAAGAAGTATTTGTTAACATTGTGTGTATGTGTTTGTCTGTGTGCTTACTGTCTTGAGTAGCAAGTTGTGGTGGAACACTTGTTTTTTATATTATCTGTTTTTTTGCAAAGAGAGATCATAATATTTCATTCTGCTACTTTGAGGATAAAATGACAATGTTTTCAAAGATTAATCAGTTTTCCATTGGGGTATAAAAACATTTGTCCTCTATGGTTAGAGAACTGTCCCAATAATTGGCTTTAAAGAGTTGTGGATAGTTATGAACAATGTGAATTTAATGCAAAATTATGAACTTTGTAGATTTCATCCGAATAAAGGATCCATGACTCAAAAACCAAACCAAAGCACGTACTTAAATCCTACAAATTATTAACCGGTTCTATGTCTTTTTCCTTGAGATACTGTCATGAGTTCAGGTAGTAGACCTCTTCAAGGCTTTCCCTCCGTCCTCTGAAACGCATGCCAAAGATGCTACATGTGCCTTGTCATGGCACACAAGCCTCACTAACCTGGAGCTCCCCCTCATGCAATCCAGTCTGATCACAAATTTCTTTGAAGCGCTGATGCTAGCATGTCTAGCGGTATGAGACAATTAATAAAGTTCCTTGGGTGAATGAAATGCACACAAAGTACTCAGTGTGCTTGCAGGGCTGAATTTCTGAAAGAGCTGGTACATGGAAAAATAGGTTGAATTTTGATATTAGTTATGTTTGAAAATATTCACTAAGGGTCCCTGTATATAAAATTTTGCCGGGCTGGGGTTGTAGCTCAGTGGCACAGCGCCTGCCTGGCAAGCGCCAGGCCCTGAGTTCAATTCCTGGTGCCAAAAAAGAAAACAGTAAAAAAAAAAAAAGCCCAAAACATTTTGCCTTTTAGGAGAACTGCCTTTGAAATCCAGTGACAGACGTAGTGTCTTTCATATTTGGATAAAAAATAATCTTACTTGCTTATGCAAGTGGCATGGCTTAGTGCATTCCTCTCTTGTTGGTGTCCTCAAGCCGAAAAGGAGAACTTTGTCACTTACCTACTGTATGCATTACACCAGTATATAGGAAAAGTGAATATGATTTGTAACCGTTAGAGGCAAAGGTGAGACTGTAAATATTTGGAACCAGATGATCTGGTTTCCTACACATTACTTGGTTGGCTCTTGGATAGTTTGGGGTAAAATAAATGCCTGTAGTCTGTAGAGACTATAGATCATACAGATGCATTAATTTAGGTCAGAAGTCAGCAAACTTTTTCTGTAAAGCACCTGACAATAATATTTCAGGCTTTGCAAATCAGCCTGTTTCTGGCTTTATTTAATTTTGCCACAGCCAGGCACAAGCTGACACAGACCTTATGTAAATGAAATGGGTATGATTGTGTTTTAGTAAAACTTCATTTACTCAAAAGAAGCAGCTCAACAGGATTTAGTTCATGGTAAACACATTTTACCCATTGATTCAAGCCAAGATCTAGATTAATTTAATACAATTGTAAGATTTTTAACTCATCAGAGGCTAGGTAATGCCAGGAAAATGCCTCCTGTTAAATGATGTAATCTCTGTATGTTATTCAAAGAGATCGATAATTCCTCATTCATTTTTAATTTTAAAACATTTTTGTAAGCAAAATAATTTTGCAGGAGTCTCTATCATGCAAAGAAGCATAATAAATTATCGCTTGGTTTTTATGTACCTAACAAATAATGCTTAGTTAAATTTGCATGTTGGGCCTGACTCTTGGGATGAATTTCCATTTTTGACCTGACTCTTGGAAAGTGAGCACCATGCTTTGATGGAAACACTTACTGTATATTTGTAATTGCCCGCGAAATGAATTTTTTCCACGGGAGTTTTCAGCTCTGCATTCATAGATGCCGGCGTCATCCAGCTGCACATTTGGAATTTCCAGCACGGCCTGAGATTTCCGCAGTCGTGACTTCCCAGGAATGTAGCCACTGACCTTCATCCATGTGATTGTAGGGACTGGGCTTCGAGAGAGAGAAGATACTGTGAATACTCTTTCCATTATTAGGGACGTAGATTCTGCTATCTGGCAACTTAAGTGCTTAATAGGCTGAAAACAATAAAAGGTATTCACAATTAAGGACCACGTGCCACTTGATATATTTTACTTTCCGTGTGGATTATCTGATAAATAGAGCGTAAGGGTAGCATCTCCTTTTCTTCCTTATTTCAGCACAGCAATTCAGAGGCATTGTATGTTTTAATACATTATGTTTTACATTTTAAGTGTTACATTTTTTAAATGAGGAAGGTAATTTGGCATGATTACTAATAAATGTTTAATATAATGAGTCAAACAAAATAATTTTGAATTAAACAAATTAAGAATTTTCCCTACCTGACACAAATACAGTTTATATGCCTCTATGACAGCTATATCTACATGTATTTTGAGTTATTTTTGTCTTTTAAAAAACATAAAATAAGTGCACATGCTATTATTAAAATACCATGTCCAATAAACACTAGATTGATTATTCGCTGCTTATTATTACCTTGTATAGGTGGGAAAGAATTTAATTAACTGACTCTCATAATTAGACATTTAGCATAGTACCAGTTTTGCTTTATTATTTTATTTTTTGTCACTGAATAAACAATGCTATTATGAACAATCTTGCATGTATATCATGTACTACTCCTTTTCTTTTCTGCAGAAAACCTTTATAAAACTCCAATTACTAGATCAAAGGGCATGGACATTTTTTGTTTTAATAAATACTGCTAGATTGTTTTCAATAATATACAGCACTTCTTACATCTCTATCAGCAATATATGACACTTTTTCACCATATCCTTGCCAGTGTTTCATGTGACCAATCTCTTTAATTTTTGTCAGTACTGATAAGTACAAAGCTGTATTTTGTTGCTTATTTAATTAATTAAATTGATTCAATTTAATTATTTCCCTGAGCTTTCAAACAGTTGAACAATTTTCATTGTATTGTCCACTTGCCTCTACGTTTGTATGGATTATTTGGTCATTTAATTTTTCTTCTTTTCTTTTTCAATATCTGTGTGCATTATTTAAATTATCAGAATTCCTTGTGTATTAGGAACATTAAAACTGTATTTGTTTAGAAACGTTCTTCCTCATTGTATTGTTAACTTATTATGGCATCTATGATACAATTCTATACACATTTTTCGGACAAAAAAGTCCATAGTTTTACTTGTTTAGAAAATTATCTGTAACTTCAAGTTTATATCAATATTTTCTACAAACTATCTAGAAATGTTTCCCACCACATATACATTTTTAGAACTTTCTTCTATCTAACTGAAAGTTTTAAAGTGAGACAGGAAAAATAACAAATTATTCCGGCATGTTAAATACATGAAATTTCTTGCTTGCAGTATGATTGTTGTTTTTGTCATTTTTCTGGTTCTCGTGTCCTTGAGTCTGTTTTAGCTTTCCCAGTTCTGTTTTACTGGTTCACTCCATGCTATTTATATTTAAGCTACTTTATGGTCTGGGCGCAGTCTACTTTCTCAGCTTGATTCCTCGCTATCCCTGTCCCTACCTTTCGACCCAGAGACACGTCTCCGTGTTTTCAATCATATCTGTTAACATTCTATGAACCCCTCGAGACCTGCCCTAAACACCTCCTCTTCAGTGGAGTCCGTAGTAGAGTTATTTGTAGTCAGCTGAGATATTTTCTTCTTTTACTGCTAACTTTTTTTTTTTTTTTTCCAGTGCCAGGGATGAACTCAGGACCTTGCACTTGCCGGGCAGGCGCTGTGCCGCTGAGCTAAAATCCCAGCCCCTTATTCTTTTCTGTTAAACAGCAGAGTGCTTTATTATACCTTACTTAATCTCCGCTAACATTTTACTATAAGTTATATATGCTATGTGTAAGATAATTTCTAAAATATTATTAGAGAAAAAATATATTATTTTTATAGGGAAAATAGCCATATACATTAATATAAAAATGCTATGGCAAGTTACTGTGTATCTCTGAATACCTTTCTGCTCTGTCTTCTTAGGAATAAGATATGATATGGCTGAATTAAAGAGTTGACAATTTTGGTTGTTTTTTTAGGTACACGCACCAGAAAAGTTGAACTTTGCATTCCTGAAAAACTGATACATCATCATCACATGACATTTTATTATATATCGGAATGCATTTGTGACTTTTTATTTAGGATTTTTCCTGCTGTATTCAAAGGTGAGATTGTAGGTAACTAAGGTTGTTTTTGTATATACATATTAGTGAATTTGTGTTTGATTGTACACAACCAGCTTTAATAGATATGATATCATAATGGTTGGTGATCGCTTAGCAAATATGTCAACATGTTTCTATTGCTTATATTTTGTTTCTGTTTTTAATTTTTAATTTTATCTTTTAAAAAGTAAAATAAAATTTCATAACAAGACAATAGGAGAATAAAAATAGTAATGTATTATGCATTTTTATCTTTAAAGTAGTTAATTAGAGTGTAGGATATGGGCGTAAAATTTCTCCTCATTGAAAAGCTTTGTGCTAATATTGTTTGGAGGGTTGCCTATATGTTTCATCAACATAAAGAATAGAAAAATTATGTTTTCCTTGAAATACTTATGGAATAACAAAAGTGACCTGGATCTGCCACTGTCAGAGGACTTAATTTTTTAAAACTATTTTTTCTTTGACTAAATATTGAATTTCTCCTGGCAAATTTGTTACTTCATGTCCCACTATAAAATAAACCACATTATCCACAATTTCAAGTATAGCGGAAAGTATTACCATTGGTACTTATTGAAAGTTTATTTTTAAATTTCTTTATTATGAGTAGTAAGTGGCAGTGGTTGAATGAAATGTGTTTCGTAGCCAGACTCCTGGATATAAAAGCAGCTCTTTGACTGCAACCTATTTACTGTCTCATTTCTTAGTTCCTTATACTGTAAAATACAGCAGAAATATTACTACTCATGTCAGAGTGTATTTGTGATTATTGGAGAGATCTGAGAGTAAGCAGGTTAAAAATTTGCAATAATATGGTAATCTGTTATGGGCTTTATAATTTTAATGGCATAAATGATTGTTTTACCTTCTTTCTTTACCCGAGTATCACATATTGGTTAGAACCCTGCACCTTCAGGGAAACCCAGATTACAACACTATGGTCCTGCTCCCTTTGGCAACACACATACTAGAAACACAATATGGATACCAAGGTGCTATGCAACTTTAGTAAGTTTACTTAATTTCTCTGAATTTGTTTTTCCCTTGTGTAAAAGGGACATTTACTTATTGTTTAAAACTCAATTACCTCAAGGTTATCGAAATCATTTTTCTTTCTTCATTTAGCATGTTCAAATTGCCTTATAAATATATTGGGTATATTTTTAGTACTCAGTAATTGTTTATGAAATAAACTAATGAAATATTTTCATAAAATTATTGAGAACAGGGTCAGATACACTTTTGTAAATTAGTTGCCATAGAAATATTAATGACAAAGAGTACCCAATAAATGCTAACAGAATGATTTTCAGATTATTACCTTTGTGAGAGGTTTCTCTCTTTTATTGTTTCTTAAATAAGCATTTTGAGATTAACTACTTGTGTTTCAATTAATGAACTTATCCTTTTTGTTAATAAATTGCTTTTTCTTGATTACTGCATTTAATTATAGTTCAACATTTCTTGCCAGATGATCCACATAATTGTTATGGTTAATAATAAAGTCATCTAAGTTTGTCGTTTCCCCGATAAAGAGATGTAGCAACATACATGCTTTGATATCTGCCTTTAATAAATACACTTGGAACTTGCAGGACAAATCTTTCTAGTGGAACATAAGATCAACTTTTTATAAGTTTTTTGTTTATTTGAAAAAAAAGGAATCTTTTCATAACAAAATTTAAAAATTACCTCTTACTTTTTATTAATTATGTCACACAAATAGGATTTTAGTATTTTTCATAGTTAGACGATTTTACCTTCTATCCAATCAAATGTTGTGTGAACTACCTGTGCCCTAAAATAAAGTAAAAACGCCACATGTGTTGGTTAGAGTTGAGCGATTGGCTTTGGAACGTGATTGGCTTTGGAACTGTCCTAAGTATTGGAAGGGCACGATTTGGCTCTGAGTGGGTGGGTTCTGAAAGCGCAGCCTCACGTCTGCTTCCGGTCCCTTCCTCGCCCGCACTGTACCTTGCTCTGAATCCTGGGGATGGACTGACAGCCTTGTCCCACCACTCCCTCCTGCCGTGATGTTTCTGCTTTGGAAGGAGCTGCCCCTCAACCGAATCCCCTTCAAACGTGAGCTAAACTAAGCCTCTCATCCTTCAAGCTGTGGACATCGGCTATTATGCCCAGCAGAGGAAAAGCTCACTATACACCACATCAACAAGAGCAAAGCTTTTGGGCCTGAAGCAGGAATGGGGATCCTCGAGCTGACCTGTTTATCCATGTGTACCATTGAAGCTACTATACATTCCGTTTCAATTTTGTCCTAATTGATTTGTGAGACAAAGAAATGTTTTAATTTTCCACTATTCCCAGTATTATTTGTGGCTTGGTATATTTTAAAAAGTTTTATTTTGCTTCTTAATTAATTTTCTCTGTGGAAACAAGTGCTGATAAATATATTAATTTAGAGTTTTAATTATATTTATAAAAATAAAATTATCTTTTTAGGTACAATATATTTTACTTTAAATTATTTTAAAAGGAATCGATTAAACTCATGTATCTTCTTTAGGGCTGGAGATTTAGCTCAGCAGCACAGCACCTGCCTGGCAAGTGCAAAGGCGTGAGTTCAATTCCTGGTACTGGAAGAAAAACAGCAAAACAAAAACAAAAACAAAACAAACTCATGTATCTCATGTATCTTCTTTACTTACCTCTTTGGGTATTTTTTGTGGTATATCACTTTGTTCCCTGTATATTGCAAATGATTTATGCTTAAGTTTTTACCTCAACATTAGATTTGCAATTCTTTATGAATATAATAGTAGTATTT